TGATGCGCATGCGCAACAGGCCGCAGTAAAAGTTGTGTGCCAGAGACAGCCTACCAGGCCAGTCAGCCAACCAAGCAGTCAGACTCAGTCGCTTACCAATCACAAGCGAAAGGGTGATAGACGCACAAGAAAAAGAACAAAAAAAAAAAAAAAAAAAAAAAAAAAAAAAAAAAAAAAAAAAAAAAAAAAAAAAAAAAAAAAAAAAAAAAAAAAAAAAAATGAATAAGTAAAAACGCCGTGACTGCAGCATCAGAAGCCAGCTAGCTAGCTTTGCACTAACAAGGAATGCAAAAGTGGCTGGGCGCAGCCTCAACACCCGTGTAATGAGCGGCAGCAGGGGAAGGAGGCGTGGTGTGGCGGCGCTCGGGCATTACCTTAAGATTGATGACAATCGTGGCCGTTACTCAACAAAATGTTTTGCTCCTGATGCGGCCAACTACGAATTTTTTCGCCTTAATAGGAGACGTGTAGTTATGTGTATGCATGTGTGTACACATGTATGTATGTACATATGTAATGCTGTAGCTGCGGCTAGCAACAAATTGCTAAGAGCTGCTGTTAATGCAGTGTGTGTACCGCTTGCTAATGGACAAGCGCGCTGAAGGTGAGTTGGCCAGACATGCGCGTTGCACCGTGAGCGTGTGTGCTGGTGTGCTTGAGTGAGTACATGTGTGTGTATTTGTGCCTTCATGCCTGCCTGCTAACAAAAAAAAAAAAAAAAAAACACCCCTCCTACGTTTAGGGGTGCGTTCACTGGCTGGGGTTGGTCTAACTGTCGCTACTTTTACAGTTCATTTTCTGTGTGTATGTGTGTGTGTGTCCTCTTTGCGCATATCCTTCATGCTGTCAGCCTATCAAATATTAGAAACTTGTTTTTCCTTCGAGTTATTGAAGATCGCACACCTTTTGTTTGCTGACTTGCGCTTGTATGTGTCTAACGGTAGTTGAAAGATCTCTTCAAGGGTGCTATTGAATGCTGCAAAACGGTATTAAGGTTTCTTCTTTCAAATATGGCGTTTTCAGGTAGGCAATGGTTGTATATTTATCTTGCGTATTTGAGAAGCTAAGGGAGTTTTTCTAACTTGGCTTTCATTTATTTGAGAAATAAATTTTTATTTTTGTTGTTGTCTTTCGTGACAATTGCGAGTCTTTTTAGTAGTTTCTTCAGTTTTGAGACCCGTTAAAAATACGTTGAAATACGTTTTAATTAAGCGTAAAAAGACCAGCGACGCGAGACTACTTTTATTTGACTGCCAATAATTTTGCTTTTTGCGCGTCTTGCTGCTAGTTTTTTCAGCTTTGAAAATGTGTTTGAAGAATACAAAATCTCACAACTAAATATTGAGCTTCCCGGCGGCGCTTCAGCTGCAAACAATACAATTCAAGACATATCGAACGGCATATCGTAGCTATTTGTGACGCTTTTTCTACGCTTTCATATAAAAATGTGCGCTTTTTCCGATTTTATATTCACTATTTATGTATGTTTATGTGTATGTGTTTCTATATACAGATTTCTAAATACTGCACACATATACACATATGCGCTTTTAAATGCTTTGAGGGTGGAAAAAACCGCCGCATGTTTTTATCGCCCTAAATAACTTTCCTTTTTGCTAAAGCTTTTTCTTGCTTAGCTGCCTGCCTTTTCAATGCTTTCACATGATTTTAGTAATGTCATGACTTTAGATATTGTCAACTGGTGTGTATGTGTGAGTGTTGTTTAATTTTTTCCTTGATTGACATAGACTCACAAAAACTGCTACTCTGGCGGTGAGTGAAAAAATTGGCGTCTAACTGGGTGAGTGCATTTTTGTTGTGCAATGATGCAGACAGATTTTTATACCCAGCGTATTAAGCCGAGGCTATTATGCGCATAACTGTTGCTGGTGAAAGGTTAAAGTTTTTTTTTTATCTATTACGAGATTTAATACAATGACAACATTTAGAGTGAGATGTTGAACAATAGTATTTTCCCGCCAGCTTTCGACATATATACAGTTCACTCGAGCTATTATAAATAACTGATTTCAGCATATTGAAAATGTGTCACCGATTGAAATTTTGCCTAGACATAGACGTCACTATTATTTTTAGATCAAATCTATGCCTTACACACATCTCTCTAAACAACTGATTTCATAACGCTACGTCCACATTGAAGAACTGATCGGTCTCAAAGCAAGCTTTTGCAACATGATATAGAATAGATACTGAGGTTCTACACGTAAATATCACAACGCAAAGCTTATGTAGTTGGGAAATGATATTTCAAAAAAATGTATTTTGGCATGTTGGTAAGACTGCCCTTAATTACTATACCAAATATAAGGTTGTCAAAAAAAGTCTTGCGCTATTTTCGCAAGTTGGCGCTGAGAGCGCGTAGTTCTAGTTTTGTTCGTCGCCTCGGGTCATGCTATACCTTTTTGGAAAGCTTGTTTCGCGCGCTAACACATGTTTGATTGATTGTCGTTTCTTTTAAGTCATTCGTGAGTTATGGCGTCGCAAACATGGAGCAAAATAAATAGAAAATACGGCATATTTTACAGTACTACTACGATAAAGGCAAAAATGCATCTCAAGTCGCGAATAAAATTTGTGCAGTTTATGGACCCGATACAGTTTCCATTCACACCGCACAACGATGGTTTCAACGTTTTCGTTCTGGTGTAGAGGTGGTCGAAGATGCGCCACGCTCCGGAAGGCCTGTCGACGAAAATTGCCAAAAAATCGCTGAATTGGTCGAAAGAGACTGGCATAGTAGCAGCCGGAGCATCGGCCAAGAGCTGGGCATGAGTCATCAAACCGTTATAAAATAAAACAAAAAAAATAAATAAATAATACCGCAAGACTTTTTTGACAACCTATTATGAGCGCGATTTGTTAACCAGTTTGTTTACAGCTGTTGCTTAAGTCGGTACATCTCAGTGGCGCGCTGCGATTTTTACAATGGATAAAATATCGAGCAAAGAATTTGTCCTAAATTTGGTATTTATGTATATTAAAATTTCATGTGCGAAATTATTGCGAATGTTAAAAACTTACGTTGATTCAGTTTGGTCAAAACCACAAGCCTACGAGTGGTTTAAAGACGGTCGAGAGATCGTTGAAGACATGCCCAGTTCTAGATGACCATCTACCTACTCAACTGATGAAAATTTTAAAAAAGTCAAGGATTTGTTGATTGAGAATGGTCAGGTAAGTATTAAAGGGATGACAGGAGACCTCGACATCTTTTGCCGTGGACCGTAAGAGGACCGTAAACAAGTCTGTTTGGACATGTGTGATCGTGCGAATTTCAATCCTACATCCATCGAGAGCATTATAATTATAGTGTTTAATGAGTATGACATGGAAAGAAGTCAACAATCATCAGAATGGAGGGGAAAAACAAGCCGAAAGCAAATACCCACGACAAAACAGCTCAAAAATCAACGTGATGGTCATTGCTTTTTTCGATATTCGTGGTTTGGGGCATCATGACATTGTTCCGGAGGGGCAGACGGAATGCAAACACTCAAATTATTTAATGTAGAATATCGATTTCGTAATATTGCGGTGCATACTTGTACTTTAAAAAAAATTTCATAAGTCTCTTTTCAGACACATATTTCAAAAGAATAAAATATTATTGTTCATAGAATTTCCTCAAGGGGGGTTCAGGATGTAGAATTTTCCTGATTTAAGGTATGCCTGTCATAATAATTCTTAGCTTGAGCTAACATTTTAGACTTTGAATTAATGAAAATACATTTGAAGCTCAAGTGACAATTGACACTTGTCATTGAGTTTGATGGGTACTCAACCGGTAGTAGCAAAAACTACAAAGCCTGATCCGAAACCTAAATCTGATACAACGGATAGCAATTAGCCCTTGGAGTTCGCTCTAATGGACTCATTGGGTTTGGTGTTTTGGGAAGATTCGTCATTTAAACCTAGTAGCAGTATTCAAAATTCATTTTGAAATGCGAAATTATTGCGAATGTTGGAAACTTAAGTTGATTCAGTTTTATCAAAAGCACAAGTTTACGAGTGGTTCAAAGACAGTCGAGAGGTATATTAAGTTTGTAACACCCAGAAGAAGATGTCAAAGACCCTAAAAAAGTGTGTATAAAAGATCAGTGTGTCGAGCTGAGTCGATTTAGCAATGTCCGTCTTTCCGTCTGTATATAAGCAAACTAGTCTTTCAGTTTTGGGATATTGATGTGAAATTTCACACATGTCCTGTTCTACTCACGAATCTACTCATTTGTCTTAACCGCCGATATCGGACCACTTTAGATTATAAGTAAATCAAGTTCTTTTATAAAAAAAAATTTTATTTGACGAGATATCTTTACGGAATTTGATTATCCAAAATAACGCTATAATCTTTGAAGAAATTGTTCAGATCGATTAACTACTGTGTAGAGCTACTATACAAACTGACCGATCAAAATCATGTTCCTGTATGGACAGTTTTCTATTTGCTGACAGTCCTTGGAGGAATAAAAATCTGGGAGCGAAGTAAGATATTTGGAAGCATATTGTTATCGCGACTCGGTATGTCTGTTACAAAATCCATGCTTGTATAGAAGACTAAACTTTTTAAAATATAATAAAATATAAGACAGACTTAGACTGCTGGCTTGTAATCAAAGAACTAACTAGCTTTAGTGTTCCATTAACAGAGTGTATCAAAATTAACGCAAGATTTAAATTTGCCGCCATTTCAAATAATCGTCACAGTTATCGAAGTTAAAACACTATTCCGACCATATTTTTGAACCAATTTCTGAACTAATGAAAGCTTTATTTTTGAAATACGGTTCAATACTAAAAACACGTTATTCTAATTATATATAACTAAGAATAAAGTGTCAGCTGTCGATTTGCTTTTTATGGCTGTCAACACTTTACTACATAAATGGAGATAAATTTTAAATCTTGCCTTAATTTCTCAGAAACTCAGAACAGTTTAGGATAATTTAATTTAAGTAAACTTAGATACTAAAACTTACTTGTGCCATTTGCATTGCGACCGAATATTTTGCCAGGCGGACTCAGTATCGGACTCGATGAGGCGGACGGCGCGGCAGAGAGTGAACGTTGTCCTTCCGAAATAATGCTGGGTATCGACGAATTATTAGCATCGTCACCACGCACGAGATCGATAATAGGCACTGCCTGCTGCGGCTGTGTGGGCTGACTGCAAGCCGCCGTTAGGCTGAGCGTGCCACCCACAGCGGTCGCCGTTGAGATCGGCGCTGGCGCTAAAACCGTTGCGCTTTGATTGCCGACGGCTAAGCCGGACGTTACAGCAGTGGCGGGAGCGCTGGCATTGCTAGTGCTAGAGATGGTTGTAGTTGCGGTTGTTAACGCGCACGCGGTTGTGGCCGCGCTCGTGGCTGGCACAACAACTGTTGTCGATGTAGAGGCGTTGGGCGGGGTTGTTGTTGTTGCGGTGGTAACACTAACTTGACTGCTTGGATCCATTGCGGGCGGGAGTTTTGTGAACACCGTAGTGTTGCCGAAGTAACGGATGCGGATGTTTAGGATGAAGGTGTGGGAAAGGATTCGGGATTTTGTGATAAAATGATTGCAATAAATTGAACTCACACACACAAAATATAAAATGCCGCACGGAGCGTGTTTGTGATGCATGCAAACTACGATTACAACAACGACAAGATGCACTAATTGGACACCCAGCACAAAGAGAGTGAGGGCGCGTTAGTCACCAACTATGAAGGAAACAAATAGAAAACAACAGCAACAAAGCTACACAAAACGTCGTGCTTTCTGAGAATACGCTAATATTTTGCGTTAAAACGTCTTTTTCGCTTAATCCACTTTAATTAGTAGTTTCTTCGTTTTTATTAGACTAAAAAATATTTTATAGTTTTTTGCTTTTGCTTTGAGAACCGTCAACGCGGTAATGCGCGCCACTCGTCCGTTCTAATTGATGGCAGACAAAGTTCTAGTCACTCGCGTCGTCGTTGGACAACTGTTGTGTTATGTTCTGCTGTGTGGAAGCCGGCCGGTTGGTCCGTCGGTTGCTTGCTGGTTTGCTGCTCGCACGAGTGTACGCGCGCTGGATGTCGAACTCTAAGTCGAAGTAGCTGTGCCTGTGTCGGAGCTGTCGACTACTACAAAACTGTTTGTATGTGACCGTCGCTGACGCTGTGTCTGCTTTCTTGGAGGGAAAAGTCTTAGAACTGCTTGCAGTCAAACAGAAAAGGGCATATACCAACAAAAATATAAAAAATACACACACATACATACATGCACGCTCAACCTCGACTCTGATTGCTGCTGTGCGACAGTAAGGATTGCCATTGGGAAGGGTTAAATTGTGCAAGAGCGCGCTGTCACAAAACGAGTTGAGTGCAAAAAGCATAGCGAGCAGGAGAGCGCTGCATGAAAATTGAGAAAGCATGCGCATACCAACACAAACGACTGAATGTACACACACACACGCTCGCGCGTGATTTCCGTGGCTGTGTGCGCGCAATCGTGTAGTCAAGCACATCACTGCATAGGGCTGTCTTAACATACGGGCATCTGGCTGACCACAGACTGGCTAGGTAAACCGTAAGGGGTGAGCCAACGTGTGAGCACACAATGCACCGAATGCTTGTACTCACTCACCGTGCCCGTATAGCTACTACTCGCTTGTTGGAAGCTGTGACTTTCTGATCAGAAAATAAGTTACGCATGCGCCGTATTGACTACAATGAATTACAAAAATTCGGACTGATTTAAAGAGCACGAAAGAGTGGCAGAAAAGTRCGTGCGTGCGTGAGAACGGCAATATGCGTTGCACTCTATGTATTTGTAAGAGGAAATATAGACTATTTGACAAGGAACTCCGCCTAGTTTTCGCAATTTTACTATTTGTAGATCTGACAACTGTGTGCATGTATGCGTGAGTGAGTTTGGTGGTAACTTAAGGATGCTTGGGTGCGCTCAAGGATGTGCGACCATGCACACACATACATACACATCAATTTTATTTTAGGTTTACCATAATTTGTGCGTGTTTGAGTTGAAGATGCTCAGCTTTTATATAATGTATCTAAGCGTAGTTACATAACATCTTTTTGCGCTGACTTTGTATGTGTGTGTGTTATTTGTACATGCATACACATACATAAATACATATATATTTTAATATATGTGTGCAGATATGCGCTCAGTGTCACTTCCTCGTGCCATTTTGATCATTATGTGCTTGCTATTTCATTAACTGTTTTTTTTTTCTGTTTGCTATGGGTGCTATGGTTTCATGTTAGACTTTTTTTTTAACCCATTTTCCGTTAAAATTCACTATTCACTGAAATACGTTATTTGACTGAAAGGGTTATATGAGCCGATGCCATTATGCGTGTAAGTAATAGAGAAATATCGTTTGACATAAAAAATGCACTTTAAAGTTTTGGCGCGCAAATACACACAAAAACAAATTTTATGAGCGAAAAAAATGTTCAAAGAATACTGTTGATTTCATAATTGTTTCAACATAGAATTAATTGCGTTACTTTTTGTTTAGTGAAAGGGTGTTTTCATTTCAATTTTTTTTAGTTTATATTCTCGTTAGGTTTCATGAATAATACAAATTTAATTGGATTAACTTATGTTTGAATATTAAGCATGTGTTGAAAGCAAAACTTGTGTGAAATTTTCAGCTCAAAAAAGGCGCATTAATTGTAAAGTAGTGGTAACGATTTAGATTGAAAACTAAAAAAAAAAAGTGTTTTTGTGTAAAAAGATTAATTTCATTTCGTCTTTGGAAATATTTAATTTTAGGAGGCAGTGATTGTAGTTGACACAAAACAATACTGTAGATGATACATATAACATATACATTTTTTAAATAAAGCTGAAAGTTGAAGCTGTCAAAAACTTCATATTTTCCTACTCTCGCTCAAACGCATAAAGTCGTCCCTTAAAAATGGACCTCTATTATCATGCTTTAATAAAATGGCATCAATGATTTTCGAACAGTCGAACTAGAAGAAATATTTTGATATTTTGGTCTTTCTATTAAAATTATTCATTATTCAAAGCGTCTTTTGTATTATCACTATATTTCTAAGATTATTCAAACTCTCCATATTTTTATAGGCTTTGGTGGTTCGTTCTAGGTTTTATATTTATTTTTATAATGTCAGTGGCGATCAATTTTCTTTGTATTCCGTTCGTATGAATCTCTCTTTTGATCTCTTCCTTTAAAAAAAAAAAAAAAAAAAAACGATATTTTGAAGCATTTCAACAAGGAAAAAGTTCAGTTAAAATGTTTTCAGATGATGTTAAAATGCTTGTTAAAGATGGCAGCTTTTGATCATATTTTGCTTGACTTGGCTTGGTATTCCCAGTAAGATTTCTAAGATTTCTAAGATCCTTCTACAACAGTTTTGTAAAATTTGGGCTGATTTCGTTAAAATCTTCCTATCGAAACTGTGAAGTTTACCGGAAGTGAACCGGATTTAATGAAGTTACAAAATGCAGAATTAACTTAGTATTCCAGAGAAGAAAAAGGAATATACTCAGTTCATTTTTTTGAAGAAAAACTGCAGAAACTCAAATTTAATGGGGAATGTGTATTATCATTCGAAAGAACATTCTTTAGCATTTTTGTTTTTTGTAAATTATATCTTCCAAATGTGGGCCGCGGTTACGTTTCAAATTGTCCGTTGAGTCGAACTTACGATGACTTTCAGCTGGTAACTGGCTTATGATCACGTGATATTTTGTTCCAAATCCTGAATCGAAGCGGGATTGTCCGCATAGAGTTTTAGACTTTACATATCTCCACAGGAAAAATGTGTGATACAACACGATCTCGGTAGCCAATCGGCTGACCAAAAACGTGAATTTATCTGCTCATCATGCATAATCTCAATAAATCTATTGATTGATGCGATTTGTGGGAGGTCGGCGCCGTCTTGTTGAAAAAAATTGTTTCCGATATCACGAGCTTTAATTTCATGATGGTTCGGTTCTCACCGGCATCATATTCGAGGAAATATGTCCCGATAATATCACCGGCTCATAAACCACACCAAACGGTTGTTTTTTTTGGAAGAAGCGGCAGCTCTTCACTTGTTTATAAACCCATTGAGTCAGAATAAGCTTTACCTTTGAACAAAATTCGACTCGAACACGCCGGATCTACTTGGAACTTTTCAAGAGCCCATAGGAAGGAGGAAGTGGCTACAGTTCTTGCACGAGTTAAATTTTGTACGCTTTCAATTTAATATCTCGACGTAAAATGCGCCCAGTCGTTCCTTACGGCATTCCGAGTTGCTGCGAACGGCGCCGAATCGTCTTCGTGTACACTCCCAGCTATGGCTGTTATGTTTTCTTCACTGCGCGCTGGACGTTGTCTATTCGCTTAATTTATTTTATTTTTTATTTTTATTTTATAAAAGCTTACATAATAATACAATTATTATACAAACTTAAGAAAATACGCAGCACTAGCATCATGGGGGCATTCGCTTAATTATTATCCAACAATGTATGCTGTCTCTGACGATGGATGATGGTGTTGCAAATGGTATTGCAGTAGGCCGATTTTGCTGACCATAAGTTGAGCAAAGCACGCGAAACACATTCCTTACAGAACGTGAATTTCCTAATAAAGTTGAACGATTTGTAAACGTTGTTTAGCCGTAAGACTTTCTACGATAAAATGCCAAATAATATTGAACAAAAATAACATGACAACTCAACACAACTCACTCGTGATCTGCCAACAAAAAGCTATTGATACCTATACTTGTATGACCAGTTGCTTAAAAATGATCTCTTACAGAAATGTAAACATAAACTATATAGTATAACTTCTAATTCTAATAGTAGATCAGAACGTCTTCTGAGAGGATTTTCGAGAACATTTCCTACCTGAAAAAATGTATCTCTTCACTAAGAGTGTCACTTATAATATGTAGAGATCTCAATTTGATAAATAATATCAAAAGGTCGAGCACTTCTTCTTCTTCAATATTTTCTTTGTCGTAAGGGAAAGATTGAAACATACAGATATTGTTTAAATAATAAAACTAGGACGAATTAAGGAAGCTTAGAGTACAAATTTGATTGAGAAAAGACACCATCTATAAAAAAAAAAAAATGAATTTAACAACTTAATAAAAGAAATCAAATAACAAAATGGTTAAAAAACTTGTCTAACAAATATATTGTTGAAAATAGTTACCAACTGTTATGATTTGATTTGAACTTATAGGCAAATTAATTGATAAGTTAAGTCAGATTAAAAGGTCAATCCAAAAATAATGCCTCTTTGACAGGTGAGACCACCGGTCTACTATGATATTTAAATAGTCATAAATATTGAACGAAAAGAGTCTTAAAATCGACAATTTTGAGCTTGCCACAAATTTATTGAAGCGACTGATATCAATTCCAACTATTTCGTCAGGTTCGACGAAGTTAAGAGTTTCAATATAATTTTTGCAAAAGCTGGAGACTAGAGGAAGAAGGTCTTGGTTATTTTCACTTTAAATACAACTTTAACAATTAGCGTCCGGCATATTTCTCAGCCTTTTTAGTATGACCAGTAAGAACTCCCAACGATTGCGGCAAAATGAGTCTTGCCGAGAGCGAGTAAGAACTCCTAAAATTGTGGAAAGATGGGACTTACGGAGAGCGAGTAGGATCTCCAGCGTTTCGGACTAGGGCAGAAGAAATTCGAAGTACAAATTCCCAGCGCTAGAGTGCAAAAAAAAAAAAACAGCGGACACCCAACTCGTTCTCAATCCATTGTAATCGACACAAGATAACTGAAATAAAATTCCTCGAAAATGGAAACGCCTGTTTCTGACACTTTTTTTTTTAATTTAAATGTGTACTTTATTAAGCAAATTTATATGCAATCATATGACAAAATAAGCTTAAATTATGTACAAATTATATTAAATATACATATGTATGTCTGTATAAATGCAAATACTCGTAAAACTAATATCGTTGCTTCGCAGTTAATTTTTTTGAAATTTTTCAGAAATAATACACAGCTGAAAATATAAGTAACGTACTTGTATATATGTATGTGGGCGTATGTGTATATGCGGAGCATTAAATAATATTAATATTAAACAGTTCATGTACCTTACATTAAAGATTTAAACTAATTATATGTATATAGTAAATATGTATGTATATGTAGAAGTACATAAGCATTATATATTTCACTATTTAATACAATATTTTATGGATCAACAGTCGAAAATATGTATGCAACTTTAAACTTAAATGAACCACACATTCGTAGAAGACTCGAGCAATAGCGCGGAGAGCTTTTTACAAGTGTGTGGATTCGCACTAGTCATACATTCATTATAAAATACTTAATTATTTGCTATTTAATAACTAAATTTCATATTTCAAATTTCAAGTCATGCGATATTCTTTACATCCATTTCCAACTTATATGACTATAAATTATTGACGCTGATAATTTGATTGATCCAGCCGATGAAGGAGGAGACCTTCACATAAACACCCGGCACATCGACGCGTCCACAGCCGAAGCCCCACGACACCAGGCCAGCCAGTTCAAAGAAGCCATCATCTTGGCATACCAGCGGACCGCCGCCATCTCCTTGGCAGGCGTCGTTGCCCTCCTCACCGCCGGCGCAGAAGCTTGAAGCGGGCAGTATGAATATTTTCTCGGTGACCGCATTGACCTTACGTATGCACTCTGCATCGCTCACAATAGGTATCTCAGCTTCACGCACGCGCAGCGGAATGGGACCGGCTGGATGGTGATAGATTAAGAAAAAATTTTTGTTACCCATGTCACTAACAGTATGCGATTGAGAGAAAATTGTACATACCTTCACCCATATAACCGTAACCGGTGACTGTGCAACGTTTACCAGCAGCATGATTGACGCCACGCGCTGGCAAGCAAACCTAACGCAAATAAAATGTTAAAATATTAGCATTAAATGGCGGCTTAAGTTATGAAAATACCAAATAAATCAGTTAAGAATTAACGGTACATAATATTATACTTACTAAGCACACGCCATCTCGTAGCTCTGCCTGTCCGTGCAATTTTAAAAGCGCTATATCGTTATCCAGTGTTTGACTATTGTGATTGTGATGTATGTACGTGGTTGCCACACGTAAGGTCTGCGCGCCGGGACTACCATATTTGCGAGTCAAATCATAGTCGCCAACTCGGACGTAAATGGCGTCACCAGAACGTACGATACTTAAACGAGAAATACAACAAAATTAATGCGAAATATGAAGAGTTAAACTTAGATTAAAAAGTGCATGTTAAAACTCGACGAACGCAGATAGGGTTTAGAATATAGGAAATCCCTTAGCTGTTATCTGAGCTGTAATTTGAGTTTCCGAGCACACCTGATATAGAGATCTAGGGAAACACATTTGCATTGAGGGTACTCGATACCAAAATCCTTTCATTTTGGCTCTCTAAAATTTTATGGTTCTGATATGTGGAAATGGCTCGTTTTGCTTCATGATTCTATTTTCTACTTATCTTACTCCTTAAAAGGAAAACTTACTTTGTGACACAATGTGCCGCCGTCAGCACCCACTGCGTACCGATCAAAGCGGCTCCACACAAATACTGATTCAACGAGTTAATCAGCGCCACTTGCCAACACCATTCGCCGTTGTCGCCATCCTCACCGCCAACAACACGCGCACGCCGTCTCGAGACATTGTAATTCATCGCATAGACTGGCTCACCGGCCACTGAATGGCGGTAACGGCTTTGCACAGCTGCCGCCGAAATCGGTTGTTGCTCGTGGTATGAACGCAGCTGGTTCGCATCCGGCCACTCATCGCTCGGTATCAGATCATTGTGTATTTGTATGGGCACAATCGCTGATCCCAATATGAGGCGTTCATTTGATTTGTTCAATTGCGTATTCAATGGTGTATACACCTGGTCTAGCTGTCGCGAGGAACGTTGTACACCATACATGGCGCGTGCGTAGGAGACCAACGAGAGGGCCGGCGAGGAACGCGAACGGCCATTGCGTAACGTGCCCTTGACGCCGCAAACATATTTCGAGTAGACGTGTGGGCGTGTTGTTGTGGTGGTGGTCGTGGTAGTGCTCGTTGTGGTGGTGGGTGGGAGTGCCGGTCCTGGTGGCGGTGGTGGTGGTAGATGCGACTGCTTTTGCGGCATCAAGGCGGTGCCGTAATGAGAGTAATCATATGTGGGTTGTTGTGGAGGAGATTGATGTTGTTGCTGCAATATTTGTGGCGGCGGCGGTGGTGGGTAGTGAAGATGTGCCTGTGGCGGTTGTGTCACCATGTAGTGTGGCGGTGGTGGAGGTTGAGGGTATGATGGTTGCGGTGGGTATGGTTGTGGTAAGCCAGCCATTGGTGGTGGCGGTGGATAGTTGGCATAAAGTGTATCATTGCGTGTCTGGAATTGTTGTTTCTCGAGTATGCGACTCTTGGGTGCGCAGCAAATTTGGCCGGAACGTTTGCACTTGAATAGATCCGTCATCTCGGCGTTTTCTAACGGGATGGAGAGAAATGAGTATCGTAAGAGATTGTGCATGTCTGAAACTTACTGAAGCAAGTGAAGCTGAGCAACGGTACAATGCAGGATCCCGGACACTCTTCACGCGGATCGGGCAATGGTGTACTGGGTACAACATAAGGCTGTGTAGCCACTGAACTAGGTGGTGGCGTAGCTGGGCGCCTATTTTGCGGTGGAGGCTTTGGCGGCGAAGCGCTATTGTCACAGCACACTGAGCCCTTGGCGCAAGTGGTTGGTGTATTGATGAGTACCGATGGACGTTCGCAGAAAGCGGCCATTATATTAAGTAAGCAAAAGCCGGGACAACGTTGTACTGGTGGCGGTGTCTGTGGTGTTGGCTGACTGCCTGTGCCACCGAGTGTATTTTCGGCGAACGAAAGTATTTGTGAGAAGAAATCATTACCACCGCCGACAGCTTGCAGTAACGGTGGGGCAGCTTGTGTTGGTGCTGCTGGCTTCGCTGCCGGTCGTTGTTGTGGTTTTGCAATTTTCGTTGCAGGTTTGGTTGGTGTCACCTTGGTCGCCTGCAATGCTGGCGTAGCCTCTGAACCTACGCCGGTAACACAACAGCTGCCTTCACCGGGACAGAAAGCCTCCGAGTCGATGTCATCACAGAAAATGGCGAATATGCCATTCATGCATTCGCCTTCGCACTCCTTCAGCGTTTGACCATTTGGGTTATCCGCTTTATCATTGGCATCATTGTTGGTGTCATCTTGCGTTTCCGCGTCATCGTCCTCCACTTCTTGTTCTTCTTCGGCGGGATCTTCGGTCGTGGTGGTGGTTGTGGTGGATGGCGCCTTTTTGTGCTTCACCGGTTTATTGGCGTTCGTATTGTTATTGATTTTGGTGCGCGCCGGCTCGGCAGTGGTGGTAGTCGTGCTTGTTGTTGTGGCAGCGGAAGCTGTTGTCTGTTGAAAGATATTAGAATTTTGTGTTTTTATTGTGAATCAAATTACAGATTTTCGCTAACCTTTGTTGTTGTTTGCTTAATAGTGGTACTTGTCTTGTTTTTGTGTTGCATGTTGCTCAGATTCGTCATGTGTTCTGGAAATATAAAAGAAATCCGTGCAATTGATTGCATTTAATCGCGTTAAAGCATACTTACTGGCTGGCACATAGATATCCTTCGGCAATTTGGCGTTCGCGTAATCGTTCAGCGAGACGCAACACTTCGTGCCCGATGCACACAGACCGTTGGTCGTTAAGTAGGCCTCGCAGTACTCAGCAATGCGGTCGGCCACACAAACACCCGTACAGTTTTGCACTGGTAATAAAAATTAAAATTTATAACGTTTAAATTACTCGAGATTCGATTGCCAGTTTACCTTTTGCGCCGTCAATATTGCYCGCATCTTTTTCTGTACCCTTTTTGGGCGCCAATGTGCTGGTTGTTGTCGGTTTCTTGCTGGTTGTGGTTTTCTTAGTGGTTGTTGTTGTAGTTGTGGTTGTGGTTGGTCGTTTGGAAGTGGTCTTCGGTTTCGGCGTCGTTGTGGTTGTCACTTTAGTTGTTGTAGTGGTTGGACGCTTTGTTGTACTAGTGGTTGTGGTTGTTGTCGTTGTTGTAGTTGTACTGGTGTGGGCCGATGTAATGTTTTTACCTACAAAACAATTTTAATTATTAAACAAACATATGGAGAATTATTWATGATATGAATTTTGGATTTATCTTCAAAAGTTAGTTTAAGAAATTTTAGACCGAAAATTATTTTAAAATATTTTCCGGCACAATTATGAGCTCCTTTAGTAGATACTGCTTTAAAGTTATACATATAATACTATAGCTATCAGGTTTTTAACTATTTTTTCCGTCGTGTTCAATTATCATACACCACTTACCCTGTGCGCTTTCAATACAACACTTCATGCTAGGCGATGGGCAAGGGATGTCATCGAGCACTTCGTAGCAGATGAGTGTGGCTAGTGTGTGTACACAAACACCGGGGCAATCCTTCGAATCGGCTGTACTTGTTATGGTGTCCAAGAGACCTGCAACATATAATTAAAAGTTTGAAACTTTATTTAAAACTTTATTTTACAAAAATGTTGTTTTTACTAACCCGATAGAAAACTTCCCGCCAAAGAGTCATCTTGGCTATGTATGCCAAACGGTAAATTAAGCAACGTCAAACAGACCACTAACGTAGTCTTTAAATTTAAACCCATTTTTATATATAGTGGACTTGTGGCGAACGTAATAAAAATTTATAATTTTATCCCACTGGATGTGCTTCATAAACACCTGTCAGGCGCACATCGGTTATATATCTGAAACAGAAGAAGATGAATAATGAATTAGAACTCTGAATATATTAAATTAGTGTTTGGAATCACTTAGAATCTTTGAAGATATTAGAACACACTTCAAAGTTATGCCTAAATCAAATAATAATAGAAGATTAACCCTTGTTCTTATTAATTTTCAGATGATGTATATTTAAAATAATTATAGCAAGAGGCTTACTTTACTTCTTGACTGGAGAATCCAGTCTGTGAAAAGATTTCCAATATGAAAAGCTACTCAAATAGTTTTATTCCTAAAATTAGCTTAAAATTAGTAAGGTTCAGGTATATTTCTTCTTTAATGGCGTTGACACCAGTCTTCCTTTTCCCTGTTTGGCACCAACTGGAGATACCAGGTATATCCACATTCTGCTCCACTGGTCTTTCCAACGGAGTAAAGGTCTTCTTCTTCCTCTGCTTCCCACGGCGAAAATTACCGCGAATACTTTCAGAACTGGAGTGTATTCATCTGTTCGGACGACATGACCTAGCTAACCTAGGCGCTGCCTCTTAATTCGCAGAGCTAAATCAACGTCGAGCGTGCCTCTGCTCCATACAGCAGGAGCAGGTTGGGTTTTTGTTCATCGAGAGAGGACTTTACTCCTCAATTTCCTACTGAGTCCGAAGTAGCACCTGTTGGCAAGAGTTATTCTACGTAGGATTTCGAAGCTGACGCTGCTGTTGGTGTTAATGCTGGTTCCAAGATAGATTCCAAGATTATGTACGACTTCCAAGTTATGACTGTCAACAGTGACGAGGGAGTCAAGTCGCGAGTACAGCGACTGCTTTTTGGATGCCAGGAGATATTTCGTCTTGCCCCCGTTCACCACCAGACACATTTGCTTCACTTCTTTATTCATTCTGGAGAATGGTGGAGCTCCTTAACAGAGGGAATTTCCAAAGAAATATTTTTTTATTGATCATTAGAGCTTAGTAGCCGATTTAATGGGGACAGACCTGATTATCAATATTGTCAGATATGCATAAATGTTTTCACCATCGTCTTCCTGCTATTTAAATAAACTGTTCAAAAATATGTAGACCATATGTAAACCATATTTGCTAGTTGCATGAATGAAAGTTCGGTATGCAAAAATATATTTGAATATATATTCATATATGTCTGTGTAGGTATATGTATGGTATACAGCAAAGGCAAACAAAAGTTAATTCACACCTGTCTAGGCGAACTTTCATTTCACTTTATAAAATTTGTTGTATTTAGGTTTTCCTTAATAGCCACCGGCACTACCACTTTTGGGCATTGCATTGTTTATGGCTAACACTAGCATTCTTAAATACACAATTATACGTACACTTATGCATATGTATATAGCTTGGCTTTCTTCTTGCTGTTTTGAGTTGCTAGTTTGCTAGTTGTGCTACAGTTTTACGAGTAAAATATTGACAAATTAACACTTAGCATATAGCTCTAAGTTTTATGGCTAGAGTACTATGTAATGTGTATAAATTTAGAAATAACTGTAAACGATTTAGATGATTTAGAGTTTAAAGCATAAAAGGCGTATTAGATGATGGCATTCTTCGGCTTGGTCTTTAAATAAATAAAATGAATCTTTCGATCAGAAAAAACATTTTTTAGAAATCATAGCAAATTCTTCTTTTTAAAAAAGTCTAAGAAGATGCCGCTGAAGGTTTTGGTATATGAAATTTAGTATATCGGTATATGAATTTTAATATATCGCGGTTCCTTGAAGTTGAATTCTTGGAACAGTGGTTACATTTGTTCAGAGGATTTGACTGATGTAATTACCTTGTTGTGATCTAATTTATTTCAATAAACTTATTTAGGGATTCTAATACGAATTTAATATGTAGCCCGTTTGAGCTCAATAACCCATAGAGTATTCAGAGAACCTCAAGAAGTTGTTTGAGGGTTTGAAATATTGAAGTATGGTTGTTCAATAGCTCAGAGTTGAGATTTTCAGCCGAATATGTATTGATAGTTTCGATTATGGATTCATATATACTCCATATGATCATTGCAACGTTTCAAACCTCCACTGACATAAAGTGTTCATAAAACTTTAGAAAACAAATGTAATTCCTTGAAAATTAGTAAACGAAGTGAGTCCGATAGCTAATTTGCGGTTTTATTCTCGGAACTCAAGATTATACAAAAAACTCCAGACTAAAAGAGTTTCTTTCATGTAAAAAGTAGCATTAATTTATAGCTTCTAGCAGTCAAAACGTATATTTATAAATTAATCAATAAAAAATTTTCGAATAAAACTAAAACATAACTCACATATCAACATGTCAGTGGCACAGAAAATGAAAGTGTACCGAAACCTAACTTTTCGAACATTTCCAACAAAATGTTTAAAAATTTTTCCATTTTTTTCTTTTATTTTTATTGAGGTCGACAAAGTGACGAACAAACAACGGAAGCTTGTCGTTTAACTACGATTATTTATTTGCTCACTCTTCACTTTCGCTATAAATGAAATGGAAATGAAAATTTCATTAAAAGCGATTCTATCGGACTGTACGTATGTATGCATTGCTAATAGGCAGCGGAAGATGAATAAAAACGTAATGACAACATGCGACAAGTGCATACTCTTTAAATACAAATTAAAAATTGTGAGTAGATATGTATGAATATATTGTGTTGTATGTGTATGCATTTACATACATACTACAACATCAATTAATTTCAGTTTTACGGCACTTTGATTTATAGCTTTTGGCTTAAGAGTCGCTTCCTGCAAATATTGCCAATTTGTTTCTTTTAGGATTTTGTATGTTGTTGGCAACGCGCGCGCTTTTTATTGTGGTCTAACATTTCTTTACAAAAATTATTCAATAAATAATTATTTCCTTAAGAGAAGCTTACAAAATTTGGATGCACATGATATATATCTAGAAGGTATATTGTTCTAATTTTAAATCTGTCCGACTTTATTTAAATGTTATTTATCGCTTTTCTCTCTTTATTCTCAAAAACTTTATGTCAAGGAATAGTAATTGCGAAAATTATATGGCGACTAGGTCACACCGATCAAAGTTTAGAGCTTTTCTGAAAATAATTCTTTCATCAAAACTGCTGTTGAGGGGAAATTGGGATTTGAGCATTTTTCAGCTATAATTCTTGAAACAGTTATTCAAATATAGTATGCTTAAATACAAGGTGTTTAGTAAGGAAGATAAGAAAAATACCATTTATTTATACCATCTATGTATATGAATACAAATTTTCGGAAAAGATACATACATATATTTACTGATTTTATAAAAATGCATTAACCATTTTTGATGCGGAACCAAATATCAAACCTTTAAAACATGATTTTAATCCGTCCGAAAATATAGTAAAATGTACAGTATGCCTACATGCGAGTAGTTTTCATATAAATATTTCAATTTTAGTTTTAAGAATATATATTTTATACATAAGGCTAAAAAAGCATTGTTTTTTATGAATTTTATGTTTGGTGAAAATTTGGTAATAAATTCTATTTATTTCTTAAGGGGTATTGCCAGCTTGGGATTTTTAAAAAACAAGACCAACTTTACAAAATTTTGTCAAAAGTGGATTTTCTTTTTAGAAAGCACCATTTTGTCAAAAAATTGTATTTTGCTTATTCCTTCAATTGTTTACTAAACTTATTATTACTTTAACGAAATCTGTTCGGTTTTTTTTAATTTAAAAGGATCTAGTTCAGAGATATATTGGTCACCACAAATGTCTTTTTTGAGAGAAGCTGCCGGATATCAGCTGCAGTTCTTTTCCAAATAAATATTTTTACTAACGCAAAGCCTTCAAATACAATTAAAATAACCATAATACAATAACTAAAAATTTTTTTACCAATAAATTTAAAAGTTTTCTCAAAAAAAAAATCTGAAAAATTCGATTTTTTCGGCCTTCTAAATATATATAACCCCTTAAGGGTCCTGAAAAACGTTGCCTAATGTGTAAAATATAAAACCAATTGTTTCTTTGTGTTACTCGCCGTTTAGTCAGCTTCAGCTTGTAAAAGTTTAAACGCATTTTTCTCGAAAATGCATTTTACAAACCATTTTGCAAAAAATGTGTTCACAGAATCACCGCCACTAATAAAAGGTCTCTCGGAAAAAAAAAAGTTTTGGGAAACTATAAATTATAACAGAAACGCCGCTGTGTTTGCATAAGGATTCAATGATTTTAATACGCTGTTTTTTAATTGAATTATTATTTTCTCATATTCTGTATAAGTACACTTTCTTCAAAAAAAAAAAAAAATAATAATAATAATGTGTTAATGTTCACTGATTTCGGTAGCAGTATTTTTCTGCTTGGTACATTTAAAGCTTTTTTACCTCTGGACATTATATCAACTCATAATGAAGTTACGTTCTTTCTTCCAGTCAAATATTATGCGGCTTTTCAATACTAGTTCTGTTAACTGGAGTAGTAGCTGCAGAAAACATAGAGATTTCGATAAGAAATAATCTACACAACTTAATTTAAATTAAAATCAAATCCTTTCAATGAAATTATTCTATAATTATGCAGCTACTTTCAAGCTTTTTAAATCTATACACAGTGTAAATGTAATATTTAAATTTTCACCTAAGCCGCTTTAGATAGAAAGCACTCTTCGTCTTCGTCTTCGTTTTCTTAGTTTATTGAGATTGCAGCAAACCTGTTCGTTCGCCTACTCAAAGTCGCACAGCTATATACAGTAGGAATTTTCAAATTTCTTACATTTCTAACATATCAACCTAAATACATACAAATGTGCTATCAATCCACCAGTAACAACAAACACATCAGTTGCCAATAAAGGCGTTGTTGTCGTTGGCTTTGTCTTCGTTGGTATTGGTTTGTGAGTTGTGTGGTTTTATGTTTCTAATTTATGGTTTTGCGCCAACATTCTGGCATGAAATCAAGGCGCGTACCTTAAAAAATGGAACAGACCAAAAGAATACAGACAGCAATAGCGTGGGGCACGCCAAAATAACAAAAACAAAATGCG